ACGCGTTGTCTGGGCGAGATTTGCGCGTGCGGCGTGGTGGCGGAGGCGGGTGGGGGGTTGGCGGGTGCTGCTGGTGGCGGGGAGGGGCCGCCGCCGCCGCGGCCCAGGGGCTCGGAGGCTGCGTGCGGCGAAGCGGAGGCGGCAAGGAGCCGGCGGGCGCGCGGTTCCGGGCCGCGCCCGGCGGCGGCGCAAGACGCAGCGGCGCCGGGGGGCGGCGGGCGTCGCGGGGCACCGGCGGCAAAGTGGGGGTGGCGCCCACAACCGATCATCGTCCTCGCGCCTTCATCGCGTTTTTGCCCGGAGGGCAGAAGCGCGACGAACAGGGCAAATGCGCGAGACTGGCGTTAGAGAAAGGAGGCGGCTGGGCAGGTAAGAACGGGGCAGTGCGCAGTGAGTGATATATGCAAAGCCAAGGAATCCGGGTTTTTCTTAAAAATATAGGCATAAAATATTTACTTATGGATTAACTTCATTATTTCATGCTTTCGAGCGCGTCACTACTGTCGTTAGTCCGTAAGTGTAGTGCAAACAGTTTATCAGCGTTATTCTGGCCCCGCTGGAATGGGGATACCTACATAAGGCACATCGGGCTTTCCCCATTACTTACTGTTATTCATTTCGCATTTAATTAGTTCTAATGTCCAGAACCGCTATTTTAAAGGTTTTAATGATCCGTGCATTCGCAAACAAATAGTATGAGCTGCACAGTAAGACAGAAGTAGACGCTTCATGCTTTTTCGCTGCCTTTCGGGATTGCTTCCATGAAAGCGATGGGGCTTACTACGATACGGGCTTGGAAGTCTTTATTTCACACACTAATACGACATTTCCAAGGTAGATACCACATTGACACGGTGGTATAAACGGCAAGAAGCAATTACAATGAAATATGTGCTCCACTCGCAGATGGAAACATACACAAGAGCAGTCGTAAAGTGGATTTGAAACGCAATCGTGAGAGTTACTATTTAAGGTAAAATCCTGCTTCTGTCCCGATTTCCATTAATATTTGTAATTTATTTTTTCTATAAAACGTGTTGATCCTCATATTTGCAAAGAATCATTTCTTTTTTTTTGTATTTCTATTAGCTGACACGATGCTCAGGCTTCGAAAAGCAACATGTTGTGGAATCAGGAGAAAGCCGGATAACTGTTGATTGTTTTTGACGCTAGTGGCGGCTGCTGAACCTCGGTAGTTAACCGAAGGCCCGAAGGAAAGCTACTGGGACCAGGAAGCAACCTTGATGCTCTGGGCCTAAATATTGGTTCTCGTTAAGGAAGCTGATTATTCTGATTCAAAAATTACGGATAGGTTAGTCCAATCTTTGTTTCGAACTCGGGATCCCTCAGGGTCAGGAAGTAATCATTCTAACGCGTTAAATTACCCGCATCGCCTCTTTATTTTAAAACAATTTTCATTTCTCTTATTGTGGTTGGTGTCATTTTTTCGCACAACCGTAACCCCGGGGCCGAACTGCAGGAAGCTGTAGGCTCCCATGAGCCACCTTCGCGCTAGTTATTAAAGTAACTTCTCTAATTGGGAATTTACTATAAGTTACTTATACAAGTTATTATAGTACATCAAGTTTCTACAGCTATAACAAAAATTTTGAAGAATGCACGTGGGACGTCTCCGTCGCGTCTCCTCAGCGTTGAGGTGGTGACGCATCTCCCCGAGCGTACGTTATCTCAGCGAGCAGCGCAATCGCCGAACACAATGTGATTCCGCAACAACGGGCAGCCCGCCTTAACGGGCGGCCCGTGCGACGGGAGAGGGCCGGGCGCGACCGCAAGGCGGCGGGAAGCGCGGTCCGCTCTTTCTTCCGAAGCGAAGCCTCCCGGCGCGCGCAGTGCGGCTCGATGGCGACAGCGCCGGCGCGGCCCGGCTGCTTCGCTGCTGCTGCTGCTGCCTGGCGGCGAGCGCGTGGGAGGGGCGCCGCCGCCCCGCCCGCGCCGCGGGCAAGCGCCGCCGCCCAGGCCGGTCAAGAAGCCGGCAAGGTCGGTCGGGGGCGGCCCGCGCCGCCGCGGGAGCCCAGGTTCCCGGCGCACGTCACGCCGCGCTGCCTGGCGCTCCGACGCGGGCGCTGGCCGCCTGGCGGAAGGCCTCGGATGAGGGGAAAGCGTCCAACCTCGGGCTCCGCAGCGGATCCAGGCTGGCAACGTCAGCGGTTGGGTGGCGGCGGGAAACTACACAAACCGCTGCCGTACGCCACATGGCTATCAGCCGAAGTCTGTCCAGTTTTAACCAACGGCCCATCGGGGTCGCCCGCGATCTGGAACGGGGGTTACGAAGCAGCCGACACACGCCGATTTGGCGCAGCGGGGCAGTGCTTCGTGCGCGCTGGTGGCGGGCGGCGCGGGCGTTTCCCCCGGAAGTGCCGCTCGCCTCCGCCCGCGCGCCCGCGCCCACGCCCGTGATCTTGGCCGAGCCCCACCCGCTCCCTCTTGACACCATCATCAACACCCCGCCCTACATGCCCAACTGCCCCGAGGGCCAGAAGGCCGACGCCGAGGGCAAGTGCCGGGAGGTTTGGATGAAAATGGGCAGAGAGACGACGCAGAGGTAAGGAAACGACGGTTCCCAGCGCTTCTGGAGACTCGATGTCGTAGGCCCGCGCCATGAGGGTGGGCGCACATCCAAAGTGGTTAAAGTGTTTCGAGAAGGCATTTCTTTAGATTTCGTGATCTACCGACTGAGTTAGCTCAGAGTCAGCGTTACTGTTCCGTCGGGACGGATTTTCGAAACTCGCTAGACATCTAGCTTGGATTCAACGCTGCCTGGAGGAAAACTGTAGCGGCCGATTGCTCTGATTCGTAGTTTTTCGCGATTTCTGATCAATGTCAGGTGAATGAAGGAGCAGTATTCTAACCACGTGCAAACTTACTTTTTTCTTCCCCGTCTTATCTACACTGCACACAAATCAGAAGCTGAGTGTTCATCCCATCTGGGGTTGTGCCCCGCTGGGGGAAATATCTGGTAGAGGAAGTCCCCCAGCCGACGTGTAGGTTAGTGCCGCGGGCCTCACCATCCAGCGAAGGATGTGCACTGCCCCCTCTCAGTACAAAACATTCACAACTCTAACGGTAGCTCAAAAGGTGGGGCTCTTGTCGGTTTCCCTGATGTGGCGCGCGGTGCAGTGAAAACAGCCTGGAAGGAGACCTTGCCGTTGAGCGTAACGAGGACCTTCGTCTACAGACAGCTCGCAGACTTTGTCCGGAGAAGGAATTCACACTGTCAACAAAAGGGTCTTGCGCTCCCTGTTAAGTGTCGTTTTCTGGAGCATTGCCAGAGGCATTTAGCATCGCTAGAATGGATTATTTTTATGTTTGCGAGTTGCGAGTTGGAGTAAAATTCTAGTTACGTCTGTTTCTTGACAAGTAAGTTTGTATATTTTGTCATAGATTGAGAGAAAAATGTGTAACCTTGGTTGTGAATTTGTCACAGAGAGGATCAATCAACGAAATATAATGACTTATCATTTTTGAAGATGTCAATGTGATGTTGTGTGGTATTTGTCTCTACCAACGTGTGATGACGTTGAAAATTGACATTTTATTAATCTTTTATCCTTCAGAATGGCTCTTTCCAGTGGGGTATTTTTGTTCAATATAGAAATTCTAGAAATAAATTGTTGCCTCAACGTATTTGATGTGAATTAAAGTTATATGAGCGTTTTCTTGCCCTTTTCCTGCAAAAATGCAATAGATAGAGATTTTTGGATACGGTGAATTTGTCAACAATATTGTTTGTAAATATTGTTTCATTCATTATTTCATTTTAAATGCTAACGAAAACTCACCACCATACCAATACAGTGAATTTGTTGGTTTCTATGATTTCAAATAAGATTTCATTATGTATTCTTGCATGATAGTCTATGAAATTATTTTCAAGAGCAAACAGAACTTATGCAATTTCTGATTCCTCCTCAAAAGGACGATACGTGGCAACGTTTCCCTCGACGGGTTGAGCAACGATCTCTGTCCTGAGTGAAAACCAAGTGATCCGCATCCCGGTCACTTCGTTCCCGTTCGCCATTCACGTCGTTTTACAGAGCGAAATCGATCGACAAAGTTGGGTGCCAGAGAAGTGCTCCTGAATGAATGGATGTTACTGACGAAACAAAATTGCAAATCCACTTTTGAATCAAAACGCGTGTGCCTCTCCTAAACTTATTTTTGAAAATGGGCAAAACATTAAGACTAACGTCAACGCAGATTCTGTCTTAACAGCTTTCATTAATTCATAAGTCTTGGAAAGGTTTTGAGAATTTCACTAGGCTAAACCCAAAATGACGAAATACGCCGGCTGAATTTTAATGTTTAACAAATTCATCAAGATTATCGCAAATAAAATTGCAGAGGAAAATATATGTAATTATGACTTCTTGTGATAAAACTTAGGTTTATTGGTTATTCGCTTTATAGCCAATACCAAAAAATAGGATTATCTCCAATGAGAAATATCAAATTAACTGGGTCAATATAATACAGACAATGTATCTTACACGCACAATTTAACAAATCCCTTCTCTTTGCCGTCATGTCAAGTTTCGCACTCGAAACACTCGAAAAAATAAGAAACACTCGAAGTGATATGTTTCAGAGAATTTTCTGTTGGTTTATCATTATCTTCCAAAGAATTTTGTTTGTGAGATGGTTTCTTTGAGACATTCAATTTCCTTGAAGTAATGATACGTATTGTAACAATATACAAAAGTCCTCTAAGATTACATCATGAAAACAAAAGAAAAGAAACATATCAGTGGAGACTTTTCTATAGACAGACTTAGACCTGTGAAATTAAATAGCACAACATACCAAATAGTTAATTTCAATTACTTCAGAATTGAAATTCAGATTCTTCACGCCTCTACCACCCCACTAACTACAGAAAATATTTAGGTCTACACCGGTTGCGGTAGCTCAGAGGTAACATCGTTGCATTCACATTACATCCTCACCATCGTTGACTGAAAGGGCCTAGTCTGGTTTTCAACACTCACTAGATAGCTAGGTTGAGTTCAGTCGCCGTTTGGAGGAGAATTATAGCGGGCGGCAGCTCTTATAGTTTTCCGTGGTTTCTCCGATCAACACCAGGCGAATGCCCGGGAGGTCCCCTAACAAAGGAGCCACGGACCGCGCGCTTTCTTCCGTCATCCTCGTCCCCTTCTCTCTCTCCTTATATTTACTTGCGCTACGCATGTGGGGAGACCAGTCGGTTGCTTGTCTCAGCTGAGGCGATGCTCTGCTGAGGGAGATATCTGAAGGAAGAAAAAGGTGACGTTTAGGTTGGCGCCGGATCTCAGAAGCCAGTGAACGAGGAACACCGCCACCTCTAGGAGAAAGAATAATGACCTGAGCACCTGACGCGCCGGAATAAACACTCACTCATTGGAAGGTTCAGAAGTGTCTTATTTTGTAGATTACGACTACAAGAACAATGAAAAGTGGGTGACACATCATTTCCAAGTTATTCAGTCATTGAATGCGTCGGAAAGAACAATCGAACTCTTGAGAAAAAGTTAAAAATCTCCTTATAAGAAAACGAAAGCCTTTGATGTAGTATAAGACATTATCTGCAGGATTACCAGAAATTCTACGGACACTTTATTTATTTTATTATTCATTGAGTAACAGAAACGAAAATGTGATCATTAAAGGAGAAATATTCCATAACAAGATTTCTTTTTTGTTACAGGCGGCGCTTTACCGGGAATATTTCCCAAGAGAGACATCCCACTTCGATTTTGTATTAATTTGTAATATACAACACATAAAAATACCAAGATTGCATTTCTCATTATAACAATGTAATGAAATATACGCTATTTTCATAATTTCGTATATGACTGCAATAAATAATTGAGAATGTACTACATCTTTTGTTTACTTGGAGTCTTCGTAAGTCATTTTTTTACCTTTATCCTTTGCTACTTGGTAAATTATGATTTATTTTGCTGCTTTCAACCTTCTAATATAATTAAAACAATTTAAATGCATCCCCTTGATAAGAATTCTCGTACATACTACAACCAATGTTGTGTTGCTGTCGCAATAATATTCAAATGTAAATACATGTTTCAGTTTTTCGCTTTTTTTCTCATTTTCTTACGACGCTCGGAGTGAAAGCGACTCCACACATTCAGTATTCGGCATGCTCGCTGAAGGGCGGCTGCTCGCCAATCCCGAGTGGTGTTGATAGATTGCTTGCTCTTTGCCGAGCGACGAACATTCGGTGCTCGCTCCACCAACCACGTGTCGGTTTCTTTGGACAAACCAAAGAAAGAGAACATTTGTCGAAATCATCGTCTGCTGGATTGGGCGAGTGGTAGCTCGTTACTCGGCGAATGCCTAATGTGTGGGGTCGCCTTCAGATAGTATGTTCGTTAGATTAACCACGGTGAAGTACCCCCTAAAAATACTTTAAATGAAAGAAAATGTCTTTATTCAAGGAGGTAAGAAAAAATGGCACTTACCGGCCTAATTCTTGAATGAAATAAGTTTAAATTTGTACAGGCTCTTATGGAAAAACTTTCGCGGACATAGGGTTTTTTGAATTATTGAACAAGCTATACGTTGAAAGCAGTTTTTCTGTAAGTAATATTTCGTTAGGAAACAGACGGTATTAAATGTAACATACATCACCGTTCATTCTGAGGAGTAATTGATAAAAATGCTGCTGAAATTCATTGGAACCGGAAGAATTGGCTTCCGGCCTAGGAGTTATCCTGAACAAATCAGGCTATTGTCACCACTGTTTCCCTTGAAGTACGAGATAAAACCACCCTGACTTAAACTTTTGTACCACATTCAACCACACTATTTGACAACAAGTCATTTTTATTGTTGACAATGTGGACTAATATTCAATGCAACTATACAATACTTCTCTTTTAAATATTTACAAAAAATTATTTAAATGCTCCGTTCACGTTTACAATCAGCTTTGGTTAATCTGTAGATGTAACAAATGGTCGAGTGATTCTCTAGCGACTGACTGATTCTCTAGTGACTGAAATGTCCTAGGGACTTTATGTAAAGTACTCCCCAGAATTAAAATATCGGTTTCAAATTCAAAAGGCCGCGACATTTGCCACACCAATTGAAGAATATCAATTTTGGAAAAAAATCAGCTGAACTGTTTAGCCGCTAGCGTTGTTCACAGACAGACGGACAACCGTTTGGCCGTCAATCGTTTTTTCGGTTCTAAGGACCCACTAAACATGGATTTTGGCTTTATCACGAGTTAGAGAATTTTTATCTAAATTTAGCAATGGGATGTATCCACTCTTATTTACAAGAGCCCAATAATAAGAGTTTTTCTGCCAAAAAGTCGCTGTTTTTTGGCGCAGCATTATATAACATTGTCCCTACTGCGTAAGCGGTAGCGAGAAAGGAAAATTTGGCCCAACGCTAAGTGAGGTCACCCGTTCGTAACGCTTTCAGTGGTTTGAGGAAATTCGCAATACTTTCGAGCTCATTGAACTACCCTTCCAGCACCGCGTTCACCGTTCACATTCACCAAATGACAGTCAACTAATACAATGTGCAGTGCGAA